ATTATTGCTTAACAAGTATTTGTGGAACGCATGATTTGTACTGAATTAAATATTATTTAATCAGAAAATTTAAGTTTAGATACTGTGCTGTGATTAGGACAGTCAATAATAATAATTTCACTCTTTGAAGTACAGGATTTTACAACAAAAAAATGCCTTGTGGCACAGAAATTTTATTTTTCTAAAATGTGAGGAAATAGTTCTATTTCAATTATTCTTTATTTTTAATAATTTTACGATTTAAAGGTGGTACGAATAACGTCCTACTATAAAAAAACGTTCGAACAGTGAAAAATTGGGACATTTTTCGTACCAATATGCTTCAAAGAGTTCAGACAGCAATTGTGACGACTCATCGCTCGAGTAACCAGTTGAATTTGACATAAAAATAGGCGCGCTACCTTCCTTTTGGGGATCTAGGCTGGAATAGTTATTGATCGAAGTAATACGTGTATGTAATGTCTAGTACAAGGTGTATATGGGTCACACGTGTTTATTTGTTGCTAAACATGTGTCTCGACGTTAATGTAATTTGAATGGTTCCCACCACTTATAATTAGCGTCTAACTTCTCTCTACCATTTATAGAATTCTATTAAAATAATTTGAAAAATGTTTTACAATTAAATTGCAGACTTTTAAATCTGGAGAAATTAACAGGGTCCACTCTGACCCAAGCGTTAAGTAACATATTCGAGATACTAGGGAAAAGGATATGTAAAAGTTCGTGTATGTTGTAGAAATATTTATTTCACATTAATTTTATTGATGTTTATATATTGTGATGTATGATACTTACAGGGGCATTTCGGTGCCCCAAAAATTTCCATTTTTTTTAAGACTCAGCAAGTATATAGTAGACCTAAATAGAAGCATCGAGCAATTTTTCGTTCGTGCTGATATTCGGTTCTTCAGGGTGAAATCACCCCTTAAAAATTAATCTGTGGTTTCCCATTGTCCAGTATATCTTGAAAACTATAGTAGATATCAAAAAACTGTTACAATGAAAATTTAATGGCTTCTTCTCCTCTATAAAAATGCGCAATGAAATTGTTAAAAATTTGTTCGTTTAGTCATTTATTTATTTAAAAAGACAAATTTTTAACCATTTCATTGTACGCTTTTATGGAGCATAAAACTATTAAATTATCATTCTAACGATTTTTTTATATCTACTATACTTTTTACAGTATACAGAAAAATAGGAAAACAAATACAGTCAAACCTCGGATCATGAACAATTCGGTTTACGAATAAATCTTTCAACCACAAAGCGTCTCGGATGACGTACTGTCTCGAGTTACGAATACGCAAGCCGTCGACATTTAAAAAAACAATATTCAACATTTTAAAACGTAGAGAAAAACAAATCACACTGGACAACTAAAACTAAATTAAGTTTTCGTCTGAATAAAAAATAATTAAAATAAGTTTTGACCTGCTTAGTGTTGTGTTTATCTTTTTTGTGATGCATTTAACGGTTTCTATTGATTTTGTGTTAAGAATTTGTGCGCAAAATACTGTTGTAAATGTTTAAATAAGCAATGATTTGGGGTCCAAGAACGCAGTAATCCATTTGTCATTAATTCCTATGGGGAAAATAGTTTCGGTTTACGAACGACCTTCAGGAAAGAATGAAGTTCATGAATCGAGGTTTGACTGTACTAAGTACCAGGGGATGGTTTCAGTCTGAAGAACAGAGTATCAGCTGAAACAAAAAATTACCCGATGCTTCTATTGAGGTCTCCTACAAATCTGTGGAGTTACAAAAAAAAAATCAGAATTTTCGTGGTACCGAAGTTCTAAAATTAAAAAGGTGTTTTCCGCGGTACTTACGTTGACCTTTAATTTATTGTACACTGTATATTGTACTATATTGTATTGTATGATATATATGCTATGTATATTAAAATATTACAAAAGTTAATTTATTGTGCACTTAACTCTGGTATTTTTAGTGTGAAGGGAAGAAAGAAATTCCTACTTTCGTTTTTGTCTGTATGGATTACCTTATAGAATGGTGTTTTGTATAAAATCCACAGTCTACTTATACATATGTATAAGCTTATGAGGTCTGGGTTGGTCGCTTCAATAGTAAGGGTGGAACATGATGAATCATTTACGGAAACGCTTGAATCGATGTACCAAGTTCACAATGATAATTGACGATCCCGTGCCCAAGCTTTCACGTGGTATAAATATTTTGAACTGTTTCGTTACATCAAGGTCAGCCATGTAACGATTACGCGAGTACTCCTGTGGAACCAGACGCGACGATAATGTAGCAAACGCCCACAAGGGATGTTCGCGAAGTGATGCATCCCGATTTCTCTGTAACTTTGCTCAATTATTTATGGATTCACCCTAAGAATTTTACTGTACTTAGTTGGTGCTGTTTTTAGACTTTAAGGGAGAAATCACCCTTTTTATCCACAACGTGCCTTTTACTTCTTTGCTTGTAACTTGTAAACTACAACAGATATCGAGAAAAAGTTCAAACAAATTTTATATCGTATTCAGCTGTCTATACATATATCGGCGGGATGAAATTTTCCAAAAAGTTGTTGAAAAAAAAATTTGTTCCTACCGATATATATGGGCAAATAAAAACGATATAAAATTTATCTGAATTTTTTTTTCGATATCTTTTGTGGTTTACGAGTTACAAGCGAATAAATAAAACGCACGATTTGAGTAGAAAGGGTGGTTTCTCCCTTGAAGTCTAAAAGTACTATCAATCAAGTACGGCAAAATTCTTAAGTTGGGTCCATAAACAATTTGGCAAGATTACAGAAAAATCGGCGTGTATCACTGTACGAATATCCCTTATGAGCGTTGAACTCACAATCAGTCGACAAACGAGACACACTGTAGAGTGCGTGAGATCGCGAAAGTCGAGCGATCCGATTTGATTCAGGGATCACAACAAAGTGCTCAGTCTGACTGTTCTATGAAAATGAAACTTTTTATAATTCGCATTTTTTCTTACCCAAAATTTTGTTTAGTTTAAATGGGCCCAAACAGAGTAGAAACAGTAACCAACGAACAGACACGACAGCCGTATGCCACTCAACTGTACGCATAACCTAGAAATTTTCAAAACCGATTTCCTCAAGAACTGAGAGCCTCGTGTGAAAATTTCTTATTCTAAATTTCGACTTATTTTTGCATTACCAATCTTTGCACAACTTTCTTCTAGCTTGTACTACCATTTTAATGCTTCCCTAGATTATTTTGAAGTGGTACGCAACAAAAAGGAGTACAGCGGGCTCGAATGGCTTAAAATGTCTTTAGGTTCCATTCTAGGGATTTATCTTATCGTGTCAAATAAATAATAAAAATTATAATTTGTATTTGCAGCCTGTTCTCTGTTAATAGTAATATAGTTCTCTAGCATATTTGGCACGTTATTCAGAAATAAACTGATTATTCAATTTAAGGATTTTATGTATTTATAGCATATAGAACTATTAAAAATGCAGTAAAATCCAAAATTTTACACACATTTAATAAAATTTCTTTTAATTATTACAAAATAGATCGAACAAAATTTTACGAATTTTCTGTATTTTGCTCAAAAACTTCAATGACGTTGGAATTGGAAGATGAGGTAAGAGTATACGACAATGTGTAATACACTACTGTCAGCACTGAATTGGGGGAGGGGGGCTGCAGCCTTGGGCCCCTCTTTCCAGGAGGGCCCTGATCTAAGCCTTCGAGAAATAATTGAATGAAATTTTGTTCATAGTTTCCCTTCTGAAATAATTAAAAATTGTACTAAATGTAGAAATAAATCGGATCAAAGTTGTTAAAATATAACAAAGTATTGTTCGTTATGATTAAATGTTATTTAATTTTATTTGCAACAATGTTTAATTTTTGCAAATTTATGTATCTTCTTCAAAATTTTATTACAAAAATTGTTTGCCCCCCCCCCGCTTTTTCCACTAAGGGGGGCACCAAAGGGGCCCTCCAAGATGTGATAGCCCTGGGCCACAAGAAATCTTAATCCAGGGTTGACTACGATAATAATTATAGGGGCTATTGTTGGGTGTGCTTGTGAGGGTACTAAAATAACAAAAGTGAAACAACTTTGAGGGTACTAAAATAAATAAATAAAATAAGAAAGAACAACGAAGTTTTTTTCAATTGTCCAATCAAGTCCATGTTTACAGATGTTAGTTTCTTGTGGACAAGTTTTATGGACGGGCAGGTATAAATCCTTTATTCTAGGACATGAGATCGAAAAAAAACTCGAAGGTCGAAAAATAAGAACCACCCTAAATGGGTACGTAGAGTATCACGAGATTGTTACACATATCCTTGTCTACCAAGTATAAATCCGCATCACTATAATCCGTCCAACGTGGTGAGTCAGTGAAAATAACCGAAACATTCGCGTGCTAAGGCTAGCTAGATGGAAACTCTGTCTTAATTATTCTTGGAATCTCTGTCCCTGTCCCACCTAAATGTTCATCACCTCCCTTTGTTTATAGCTACTTATTTGAATCGTTTAATCAGGTATATACTAGAAGTGTAAACATTCGGATATTCGAACTATTCGAATAATATCGGATACGCATAATTTATTCGAATAGCTGAAATATTTCGAATAGCAAGAAGTATTCGAACATTTGGTACGAAGTATTCAAATAGTACCAAGTATTCGAATAGTACGTAGTATTCGAATAACAGAAATTTTCTGTCGAAGATTCAGATTTAACGTTTGAAAAACAAGTAACTGTAAAGCCCAATGTGAAAAGAATTTCACGTCAGCGTGTGAAAAGATATATTATGTTTAGATTCCTATTCAGTGCAATAAAAAATTCGAACACTTCAAATAATTCGAATTCTACTGATATTCGAGTATTCGAATTATTCGAATATTCGTAACAGCTCTTTGTAGACACCAATATGTCGAAAAGTGGTCGTTTCATATCACGAATTTAGTATAAACAATTCGAAATCCTGAATAAACAAGTAATTAACGATGGTACTTACCAGTGTCCAGGCAGATGCCCATAGTAGGTCGTTGAAAGGATGGCGGGATCCCGTCACTGCCATTTACTCACATGCTTTCAACCAGCTAATACACTTTTCACGACACGTTCCTAAATGATTCCTCGGAGATTCAACTGGTAACTTTTTTTTTCACATTAGAGATCCTCCTGGTCGCGATGCTCGGTGATCTGCTTGCTCAAGGCGAATTTTCAAAACTTTTGTACGCTTTTAAACAGTTTCAGATTTATAGTCCGTATTAATTATAATTTATAGTCGAACTTGATTTGTCTGTTAATTACGTTTTATTTTTTGTTCGATTTCTGGTTGAGTTGATGGAATTTTTTTAGTAAAAATTTTTCGATTTTCACTCAATGATTACACCATCCACGTATGGTCAACGATTTTATGTAAACACGTACACATTTAGCACAATTAACACTATCGACGATGATCGGTCGAGGAATCTGCAAAGCGAACAATTCGTTGAAAATAATAAAATAGTAGAAAAGTTCTTTTACGTCAAGAAAAGATTCAATACTGTATATTGAACTTTTGTTGCAAGTACATAAATCATTAAATTAGAACTTCTTAAACTTTCTACTGACTTTCAATAATTAAGGCAATTTTCATGTTGCGATAACCTAAATTCTCAGTATTTGAAATTGCTGACAATAAAATACATTACAGATAGAAAAAATTACTTCCTGGTTTCATTTGTATTGAAATTCGGTAATTCAAAATAATTTTTTGAATAAATGAATGAAACCAGAAATGCCCGTTACATTTTTAATATGATAAATTTTCAGTTTTCGAGACTATTCAGAACACCAAACAAAGGGAAGCTCTGCAACGTCGAACAGAATCACTCGACCAAAATAATCCTAAAGTTTCATTCACAAAAGGCTAATTAACGCGCGGATCTTGTCGCGAAAACATATCGAACGGCATCACGCGTCGAAAAATCGATCGAACAATCTTCCAGAAAAATACACTGTACGCGACCAACAGACAAAGTCCCCGAAACGTAAAGCACTTTTCGAACGATAAATAACAATAAAAAACAACGTATGCATACAACAATCAGAAATAATATTCGTTTGCAGTTTCCTCGATTTTACTCGCGTGGGTGAAACACGGTCGAACGATTTCGTAGTCCACGCAACCGTCGCGCACTACTCGCGCTCACACGAACTTATATATTTGGAAATATATTCTGCACTGAGCTGGTTTTGATCCCACGTAATACGTTCGAGGCGATTAAACCGACGAAAACACCGTGGCTCGGTAGTAAAAAGATACAGATTGAGTTTCCGGATACGAAAGTTCGCAGACGCACGTATTCCGCGGCGTGACAACTCTCTAATGGATTGACGGAAAGCAACTAGAGGTCGTGGCAAGACTCAACGTCGTCATAGAAACCGGCGGCATGCGCGCGCAGCCAATCCCTCGCCGCCGAGTTCCCGCGCCCTTCCGTTGCATGTGTTTTGCATACATTGAGTTAATGGCACCTTGTTTCGCGGCCGTCGGTGTGTGCGTGCATGACAGCCCCAGGTTCAATGTCAAGTTCCGCGCCAATGAGTTCCATCGAGTCCCACATCGAAGGGAAAAAATAGGTATCTAGGCGGGGAGATAATACAGTGTCGTTGTGAAAATTGACCGGAAGCTAACCTAATCATTTTACCGACTTTGAGACGAATGATTGACAGATATAGAGGGTGTCCCATTTAAATCGACCCACTCGAATATCTCCAAAACTGCTGACATTAAAAAATGTTTTGGAGAAAAGTTAAATGGTATCAGGGGACACACTTTCTGATGTAACTTTCTTCTATGTGGACGCGTAGAGGTCATATAGAAAGAAGTTACATCGGAAAGTGTGACCCCTGATCCATTTGACTTTTGTTTCAAACATTTTTTAATGGCGTCAACATTTCGGTGATATTCGAGTGGGTCGATTTAAATGGGACACTCTGTATAGTGTCAAAGGTCTTAGGCCTAGCTTAGAATTGTCTTAATTCTGTTTTCGATAACCCCTAAATTCTAGGATCTATAGGTTGAACCATAATATGCGGTATCCATATCAGAGATTATTACTTGAAAATAATTTTAAAAAGTGTATTTATACAAACGTTATTTGAACCGTTCACAGGTGAAAGTGACTAACTCTATTATTTGAATTTCTTCAAGTTTTAGGGCCAAAACACTAGATTGGAGCTTAACTGTTTACATTTAATATATATTTTCTTGATCATTTTTGTGGAGCTAATCATTTTGGCAAATAAACGGCTCATTTATGAGATACAGCGAATTCAGCGTTCTGTCCGATAAATTTCGACTTGTTCTACTAACTCCCCTATAATTATCAGTTATACTACTTGGACAGGTAGAACGTATACTCTGTTACGATATGAGTGTATACTATACAACATTCGGTGGAGGGAGGGATCAGAAATCCATAAGTGATCCATAAGGGGCCCTGCCGTTGACAGCACTGACCTAACCTCTTAGAACTTGCAGTATGAGATTTTTTATCACATATTTTAATAGTTAATGACATTTCGAATCGCAAATATCACACAGCAGGTTCGGGCACCTTTGAGAATTCGGTCAGTTGTCTAAGTTGTTAGTGTTAATGGCAAGATTAATTATTGTTTACGATCCTTTGTATGAAATGTTAGACGTTTTCTTTTCACGCGAGGTCTGAGTGGGGCTGAGTTGTTCAGGCAAACAAGTTTTAGCATATATGATCCAATGATGAAATGCTGTGCAGGGTAAGTACTTTATTTTTAATTTTACAAAAAAGTATTGGTTAACAACGAAAGATTGTACGAGGTGGGAATTACTGAATATTTCTATTTCAGTAAATAATTATGCAACAGATCGATGTTATTGTTAATCATTTAATGTATAAAAAGTTTATTTTTATTCTATGACATAGTTATATACACAGTTAAATTTAAGGTTAATTATCGCTGTTTATTCTTGGTTAACCAAACACGAAAGCCTGCCAATATCTTAAATTTTACGGTATTAACCACGATTTATTCTATGTTCAGAAATATTAATAAACACAAATAATGATCACTAAACTGCGAATGTTTATGCAAATATAGATTTTTATGGACTAGCTTATAGACACTGGAAACTTTACCTTATTAAGGGTTTTATCAGGTTTTAAATAATATAAAAATGCTGTCAAACTTTCTTAAATTTGTTACTAAACTGAGTTTTAAAGAGAAAAAGTTATTTATGCACTGATCGAATATACATATGTACTTTGATACTAAACGTTTGAAATCGACCGTTATGCTTCTAAAATAACTAAAGGGCATACAAGACTTGTATAAATAATATGTCTGGTATATCATTCAGTACTTCATTTAAGTATAGAAGAAACACTAAAGAAGAATACAAAAGCAACCTTGTTTTTTACGTTCTTACGTAAACTTATCCAGGTTATATTGTTTATTGACCTATAATTCTGCAATTCTATCTTATAAAATATTAATATTAGGTATATACATAACCATAAAAAAAGCTAGAAACTATCGTTACTTCAAATTCGTAAAAGAGCGCCATATTTTAATTTGGTCAAGATAAGACCTAACCCCGTGAAGGTTCAGCGTTAAAACCTGCAACTATTATTTTGGTTCTTTAACTAAAAAATTTTTAAATCAAAAATTCACATAAACCGTTTTCGATTTTTACCATTATCAAGAGATTGAGTATTCGCGTTACCCGAAACAAAACAAAAATATTTGTTACGCATAAGAAACATTACTATTTGATTCGTAGAGTAAAGTGGTTATTCGAAAATTTTTTACGGATAATTTGAGTTCTAACCCCTGAAAATGATTATACAGGTCGCGGTTATGATAATTGATGATAATCGTAATTGTTTTCCCATAAACTATAACTACGAAAGTATGCGCATATAAGCCGGTAAACGTTAGCACCATCGGCGTCGATTAAATTATTCAAAACTGTCCATCATACAGCTGCTTTGGTTCCACATGTTCATATATAATTCCTACAAGGTAAGCCAGTTAGGTAGCCATGCTCTTTTTCCAATGGCAAGCACCTCCGTGTTAGACAGTCATGCTTCTTGGAAACTATAGGGCTTTGAAAAGTATAGGTTTCTTGCTGGGACTTTAACAATCATACCATGATTATACAATGTAAACGTGTCAAATTTTATTGCCAGCTTTAAACAAGTCATGTGGGACTAACATTCGTAATAGTGTTCAATATGACTAGCAGGAGCATGCGATTTGACAGACAGAAAAAGTGAATTAATTTTATCATTAAATATCTATGAAATAATAGTAAATTTGTTATGTCAAGTGCGCTAAATATAAGCAGAAGAGTATCTTTTTTTTTCATTCCAAGCGAATTTATGTAATTTTTATACTTTTTCGTTTACCTTAACCTTCATGTTCGGTCGAATAAAAGGCTGGCATTCGTATGAAAGATTTAAAAGAAACAGAAAATATTTACATCATACTCAGTTGCTTCTGATATTACTATTGTAACATTTGCATTGCCCTTCTGTTCCGTACTTGATCGACAGAAACAAGATCGACGGCATTATAATATTTAACGACGTATCAATCTATTCAATATTTCATTCACAAAATTTCTCCCCAATGTATATTTTAATACATTACTGTATTTGAAGAAAATATCCACTCTTCTGTTTGTTAACATTCTTTTCCTTTATTCTTACATTTAATAACCAAATATTGTGAAGCATTACGTATTTTCAATTTTTATTTTGGACAATTATATTTTATTGCACAAGTATAATTGTACACATTATAAAATGAATAAGAACTCAAACTGATGAACTCAATGATATAAACAGTAACGAAGATTATTAATGTGGTAGATGTTCTTATTGTTTTGAATTTAATCGAGTATTTATGGTGAAGCGAATATTACGCAGTTTATTGTTGAAGACATAAGTTTGATATTACAAAGCATAAAATACTTATAAACGACTATTTAACTTGCTAACACTAAGAGATTTGCAAAATGTAGCTGTGATTAATTTTTGTTTGCTTATGAAAGATTCAAATATTAATTTATTGCCTGTGGTTAGGCAACTTTACCTACTTACATGCCTACAATCTGAACGCTGTTCTAACCTCAAAAGAAAACGTTTACAGTGAAACTAACCTCAAAAGTGACAAATAGAGTATTAATTTGTTTACGGCGATTAGTAAGTTATTATTTTATGTATAATTATTGATATTGCATATAATAATACTTCGACATGGATACAGTCGTATTAAAAAATAAATTACGCATGTTATAATTTTAAAGAGCTTGTAAGCTATCCCCGAAAAATTTAGTGTTTGAATAAAATTATAGTGAATTGTACAAATAATAAGAAAATCAGGTAGTAATATATACTAGTACAATATTTTATATGAAAGTTATAATATTTTAATGATTTTGTGTGTTGACATTACTGAGTTTGTTAAAATACGATTTTTAAAGATAGATACTTCTGTAGGGTATTCATTTAAAACAATAAAATGAGTGAACGAAGTAATCATAGTGATGAAATTTCTGATACACAAGACGACAAAGATGAAGATTTTAAAATTGATGATTATCGTAAACATGTAGATAGTGATGACTCCTTTGTTGGTATACCTGAAGCTAATAATGACAATGATGATGTAAGATTAAATTGATATAATTACTGGTGTAGCTGCTTGTGTGCAACATTACATTCTTCTGTTTTCATTAACCCTTCAGCCAGAAAGCATGCAAATGTTTTGTTTACATTAATATATATTTGACGGATGTAAGCTACTTTGATCCATTTATGCCAATTGATATATTCTCCATTTGAATATCAAAACATATTGGTATAAAGGAGTCATATTAAGATATGTATTATTGTACAATAATATATTATATATAAATTGTATGCTGCTATAATAAATATTTATATATGTACATATCTATATCTATAAAATTATCTGTATAATAGAGTAATCTAACGACTGCTTTAATAAAATTGAAATCACAGAGAATCACTAAGTAGAAGCTTAGTCTAAATAATGTCTGTTAAAAATATATATAACTAAATTTTTACTGAATACAATTATTGAAATGAAATTAAGAATATCAGTTTTCTAAACTAATAACATGTTCTTCAAGTACTTCTTCTATTGCCTTTAAATAAAATTTAAATATGTTCCATTTGATTGTAAAAAATACATGCAAGAATTTGAGCTGAAGAGATGAAAGGAATGTTAAATACATAAGGCTGAAGAGTTAATAATATTTTGTTTCATAATTAAAAATAAATATAACAATAAAACATCTCGAAGAAGTAAGGAATCTAAGACAATGCAATATTATTTTATTATACACTATTACGTAGAATTTGGAAGACGAACAAGAAGAGGTAGATGAAGAAGAGATAGATGAAGAACAAAATAATGATTATATTGGACCAGTGCTTCCTGGAGGTCATAGATTTGACAAAAAGTTTATTTGTATTAAGTATCCTGGAAATGTTGTACATCCAGAGAAAGCTATGGAAACATTGGGTGGTATTGGTGCTATTTCAACGGTATTATACATTTTTTCAAATGAACACAGAAACACATAATGATTAGTAACTATTGTTATGTATTAATAGGTAATAAATACTCCAAACCGTCGTTTGGAATTAAAATTTAGACCGAATGATAGTTACTGTAAGCCAACTTGTGGTGATAAGTATAACACTAAAGGATTTTTACTTAGAGTCAGAGTGAAAAAGTCACGAGTGAAAAAAGCAGAAGAAAATGAAGCCAAACGAACTGAGAAACATGTGAATTCAAGTGCTACAGAGAGTAATGGTGTGCAATGTAATGTTAATATAGAACATTCATTGGACACAGAGAACATTGAAACTCAGGAAGATAAATGTCAGGAAGAACAAGTCATATCCGAATTAACTGATCAAGTACAAAGTTGCAGTGTTAATGCGCAAGACGAAACTGCTAATCCCAATCAATCTAGTTTGACAAACGTTAAGACAAATATGCTTCCGACATACGAACCGAATAAATACGAAGATCTTTCCAAAGATGAAGACTATGAGTTGCCAAAATTGAAAGTTCTAGGTCGGGTTGATACCGAATTCAGATTCGCGAGTATGTATTGTTTACAATACAGTGTCATTTCCACATTTTTTTTTATTAGTCTCAAGACGATTAAAATATTTTCTAGATCTCTGTGATTTCCAGTATTTACCAATGACCCAATGCAAAGATGATCCTAAAAAGTTTGAATGTATATATGATAAGATTTATCCAAGCACTATACCATCGTACTCTTGGTTAAAGAACGACGTGCCCTATTTCTTGCCACCAGCTGCGTTTAGCAGAATGGATACAATTCAGCAATATGTACCAAAAACAGAAGTGAATTCGTATCCAGAAAATATAATAGGAAAGAGTACAAAGCGAAAGGCAGGATTTTCAAATTTCATATATTTTTCGACACTGGAGGTTCCTGCTAAGCCTCCGGCAGGTATAGAAACTGCTATGAAAGTTAAATTTGTTCAGAATGTACACTATCAGGAAATAAAAAAACTGTTCGACGAACGACCGATTTGGTCGAAAAATGCAGTGATGTATCAGACTAAGTTTTCTCAGGATCGCTTGAAAATCTTATTACCTTCTGTGGCATATTACTTTATGACTGGTCCATGGAAAATCATGTGGGTTAAGTTAGGGTACGATCCCAGGAAAGACATTTCTGCAAGAAAGTACCAAACTTTGGATTACAGATTGAAAGCTATGCGTGAGTCTTTTCAATATTACAAATACGCAAGAAATTGTTATTTTGCTAGAACAATAAAATTAGGTGTACGATCTTCCTCTTTTGGGTCTAGATGGTTTGGGATCTACTGTAAAATGTAAGAGAAATTATGCGGAGTACACATTACCGTATAAGTCAACACCAGTTGGCAAGCAAAAGACGGTTCAAAGCGGAATTCCGAACACAGAGCAAAGTAATAAAAAGGAGCAACAAGTGAACGAAAATGTTTATATTTATAGGGAGGGAACAGTACCTCCTTCGAGGCAAATGTTTTATCAGGTACACCCTAATTTATTATCGTTGGTAATTTTTGGAAGATCTATGGGCACTTCAAATGTTACGCCTCAAATATCTTTCAGTATTGCGACGTTCTTGTGGATGAAATACAGGAGATGTTGGCAAAGTTACCTGATCCTTTGCCCACTATAAGGTGTCACGAGAAAAGAGGCTGGTTACCAAGTGGTTTTGATATTCAATGCAGAGAAATAATTAATAGACAAGTTCGAGCTGTTTTAAGAAAGCAAATGAACATACCCGATGATTGTATGTATTGCTCTCGAAAAATATAAATTTCTAGCACACCAATTACGTTATAGCTAATTTTTGCATTATTATTTCACTTAATCTGCAGATCCAACGGAAATACCTAGAAAACGTAAGCGAGTAATCAAATTGACGCTTAATAAACTCAAAAGTAGAAAGAAAAAGAAAGAGAGTGATTCGGTTTCTAATATCGAGGGAACAGAAGAAAAACACGATGAAATTAAACCGAGTACTAGTAAAGCAGAAAATTAGTGAACTTTGTAATACATTTAGTATAAGCATTAGTGTTGACAGTAGTCTGTAAGATTTGATAAATAATTGCAAAACATTAAATACCTACTATTACAGTTTATTCATAAACGTGTACAAGTTGTTAGCCAATGTTCGATCAGTAAATATGTTTACACTTTAACATACACTCTAATAACAATCACATTATATAAGTACTCCTGAATTTTGTAAAATGAGTGCAGAGAGAATGCAGCGATGAGACATATTTCATCAGTCGTAATTATAAACTTACTTCAATAAATGCATTGAATGGTAACAATGTTTTGTTTTACAATGCTGCAATCGTATTTGCCAATTTGAGTTTTCACCATTGGATATCTTTTCATATAAATAAATATTCTAAAATTATCTTGGTAAACATTAGTATTCCTTTATACAATGTACAATATTTGTGTATCCCAAATAATTTGTTTTGTTTATAATTAGGATAGGTAACTAACACATAGACAGCAGGCCACGTTTTTATAATTATTTTCATACATCTTACTTCATTCTCACTAACAAAAGATAAAAAACCAAAATCATGTAAAGAAGAAAGTTTTAACCCACTAAGCCACAGTTTTGGTAGAATTCTACCACTAGGATTCAGTAAAGTGATTGCATTTGGTTAATATCATTTCATTAATATGAACATTTATACAAAATTTGTTTAGTTTTGTTCCTTTGATCCTTGAGGAAGAGCTTGACAATTCCATGGTTGATTGTTTGTATGTTCCATATAGAAGCTGCACAGAGTCTCAAAATTTCAGAACAAATTTACCATTAGTAGTAATTGCTTCTTTTTCATATTACCCATAGTATTTCACAGTAAACACAAATTTTAAAAACATATCACTTAATATCATACAATCAAACATCTTCAATGTACATAAGTTCTCACACACATTCTTAGATATGTATTGGAATTGCTCGCGAAAACACTGTGATCAAGAAGCAGAACAGTTCATCTACAAGTCACTGTAAAACTCTAAGCTTCTCAGTCTACCTAAGCAAGGTAAATCATTTTTAGAATACTTAGTTGGTTAAGATACAAAATATGTAAAAGATCCAATGTATGGCCCAGAGGGTTAAAAGCAATAGAAAACAAATCTGTACTTAAATAGTTGTTTATTGTAGAGGGAAGGTTTTCACAATGGTTCTTGTTTTCAATTTCTTTTGGCCGGTGAGGGCAGGGTGCTGAGGACGCGGGGGGGGGGGGTGTTCGTTCAGAACCTTTCCTTTTTTTAGAGACGAAGGTTAGGATTGGTGCTGGCGATATAGTTCAAAAGTTCTTCGGAATCTTCGCAGACGAAAGGCTTCTGGTGATAGCAGGCTACGTCGTGCCAGCTGATTCCGTCTTTGTAAACGTTGTTCAGAACAGACATACAGGACTCGTTGGTGCCGTTTATGTCGAATTCAGCGTTGTCCGGCTGCTTAACCTTCTTGTGCCCGGTTTGGGACCAGGGGTTGAAGCTCCAGCCTTCCGGGACCTGGTTAGTTGGCGCCATCTTCTTCCTATTGGCGGACCAGAACCAACCGTAGAGAGATTTAGGCTCGAGGTCACGACGGTTTTCGCAACCCTTGAAGTCACAGACACGTCCGGATGTCCAAATGTAAGGAACATCATCTGAAAACGAATAATTTTACTGATTAGACAAGGTTTATTTTGAAATTGAAGTGCAACATATTTTAGGTGGACAGTAGATAGATATACAAATTAACGTACTAATTAAAGTACAGTGATTTTTGAAAATTACTAGTAATGATATATTTATACAGCCCGGATGGCACATGATGCCTTAAAGACGCCTATTTTACGGCTATTTTAGATCTAAGGCGCCTTTAAGCCGTCTTCAAGGCGTCATGTGCTATCTGGGACAGTGGAGTAGGGAACATAAAAGTAAACATAGGTTATGTATTCAACCTAAAAATATAAATCTTGTTTATTTTTAAATCGAAGTTTAAGTAGTTTTTAATTATACCTAGGTCCCAGATAGCAAGTAACGCTCAATGACGCCTTGAAATGGGCGTCTTCAAGACGTCATATGCTATCTGGGGTACTATTAATATGGCGCCATTTGAAATATTATTATAAGTATGTTCATTTATTTTTGAATTACCTATTTCACTTTTGAAGGTAAAATTGTGTTCTTCTTTTTTGCATAAATTTCATAAATGTGAGAATTGAATTCAATGTAAAGTTTAAATTAGAATATTTATTTTTAGTATACACGATGTGTTCTTATTACTTGATTGAAAATATAAATATAAAATAATTATATTAATGGAAATATTAATAGAAATAGAATAATTAAATTAGGCAATAAAGACATACATAATTGTTCGTGTATTTTTCTTCAATATCTTTCTATATTTTAAAAATAGAAATTTTTATTAACTGCATTGTAAAAATATGTTTCAACGTAAACAATTTATAACCTGGCACTACTTAATATTTAAAGAATTATTGTTAGATCAGATAAAAAATCTTAATATATATATGTGTATATACAGTGTGCACAAACAGTATGTCAACATTGAAATCGCTTATAGTAATTGTATCGAATAGAATGTAATTTATGCTAATGATAAAAAATATATTATTTGGAAACTGTCTAATAATTAAAGATAAACGAAGTAGCAGAAATTTTTGTGACATCTAAAAATATGTGAAATTATTTTAAAAACGTGGGTATGCGCTAACACTGTTTTTAATTTGATTTTTCTAAAAAAATGAAATTTGCAATCTTGAAATTAAAGGTCGACAGAAGTTAGGATGAATCTTAAAAAGTTGTATTTTGTCGAAAATTTTTTCGAGAAACTGAAGATCGGTAACTTGCATATAAAATAGACGAATTTCTGAATATATATAATATATTGTTTTCGAACACGTGCGCTCCGAAGATTGATGAGTTTCGTGATGCAACAATGTATGTATAAAAGGATGAGATTTCTCAGCCTCAACCTACTTAAAGATCCTCCGTTTCACCTTGAAGATTCAGTCGTTAATTCACTGACTTGAATATTCGAGAGAATGTTATGAAAAAAAGAAACATATTCCATCGATTCTTGCAAAATAAGTCGTTTCAAAATAAAAAATTATCTCAAAATCTAATTTTCACAAAAAATTGCTTCTTTTTTTTTTAGATGAAACGTAGAGGACACTATTGGTTACCACTTTATCTTCGCTTTAAGCCACTTTAAGGTTCTCATTAGGTCCCAAAATGAAGCAGATTATAAATTTAATAGATCATTCTATCGAGTTGAGCCATAAACGTCAGTTTCTTCTTTCGGAATTGATTAAACTTAGTAACTGTTACTGGATTAACCAATTTTTTAACTACAATAAGCTATTCCTATTCAAAAAGTGACAAAATTCTGTTGAAGAGAAATCTAAATGAAACAAATACTACACTGAAATTTTAAAATATGATCGAGGTTTTCGAGAATTTGTCTGATGTAAAACGAAGCATTAAAGTTCATTGGAAACGCTGTGTTCAGAACTTAACCTTAAAGTTGATGGATTTTATTAAAAAGTGGACTGATTTTGATACAAAGTAGAAATTTATATGTGCCTTATATATTTTAAAATATAACAAAAAACACATTAGAAAATACTAAAACACTGAATACTATTAAATTGGAAAGAAAAACTAGACAATAATATTGGATGAGAAAATTTAAAGTTTCCTTAGATTTGAAGATTCATAAAAAATCTTAAGAAACCCACATAAATTCTAATAATAATCAACTTACAAAAGACTTATTTTCAACCTTTCGAAACTCTCGAATAGAACAAATAATTTTTCGTGTTTATTCCCATTTTCCAAAGGTACTTTCGAAAAATCGAAATCTCCAATTTCATTAGACGAATGAAACCCAAAATCAGTGGTAACCTATATTATTATTTCAGTAAAGACGCGATATCGTTTGGACAATGGCGGATCTCTCGCTTCCGCGTGATGAAACGATCCGCGAGGTCTAGAAGACGCGACGTTGTAAATCAGTGAAACAGTTCGTTTCGAAATTTCTGAACTATCTGCCCGAGCGAGAATGAAAGTTACGGCCGGGGTATAATAAATTGCTCACGAAGTCGGTGCTGCTGGCTTCTGTGTCTCTCTTGTTGCTTCTTCGGTGGTTGGATGGAGAACTTTCTAAGCTAAATAGTTACGACAGGGTTAAACGAATTTCTGATGACGGTAATATCCTGATCGATGACACCAGAGGCGGAAAAATAAATTATAGGATCTGTGTATTTTCGAAATAACACCGTTGATCCTCATGTTCCTATGGCTGGGTTCTCGACGACCCATTGTGAAGATGGTTCCTGAACCGTCGATGAACCATGTTTGGTAGGACGCCATTTTGGAATTAGGCGAAGAAGTTGTTTCTTGTCTAGAGTAGTAGCCAATTTTTGAAAAATGTTCTTCTAAACCGGGAGATTTAAGGAAAAGCAATAATTTTAGATTTCCTTGCATTGTAACTGCAATTTATTTATCGTGACGGTTGAATAGGTGAAGAAAAGTGGGAGTTTGCAATGAAAAGTATTTTCTTTGAAAAATATTAAATATGTGAATATTCTTTGAATAATTGATGTATTTATTCCAACTGTCATGGTACATCCCCTTTCTTCGGTTCATGGTTATGCCGATTTGAATATTTTACTGAATCTTTGCTCCAGTTCTTAATTGTTCTATCTATAAGGTCAATATGTTCTTATTCTGTAATTTCATAAGATCGGTATGTTCTTATTCTGTAATTTCAAAAGATCAATATTCTCCTATTCCATAACCCAGATAGCACATGATGCCTAGTAACGCCTTGAAGACGTCTTAAAGGCGTCTTAGACCTAAAACAGCCGTAAAATGGACGTCTTCAATGTGCTATCTGGGAATTTCATAAGAATTTGTTCTTTTTCTATATTTTCTATTAACCGTCTGTACAGTTAATTACAAATGAAGTCACGTGGATAAAACATTCACATGTGAACACACGTAACTTTATCAAATATGGCGCCCAATATGGCGTCGACAAAGCGACGATCAGTGGCATATACTCCGAAAAAGTAGACTTGTGTAATTTACTTATTTAAAGATTATAGGAATTCGAAGTTACTTACTCTGTTGAATGAGTCTGAAAACTAAGTTGTTTTCATCCTGAGTTTCTATCGACACGAGGTCCATGCAGTATTCCCTGCAGATATTCCTGGCGTCTAACCAATCCACCCTCTGGTTGGCGTGGGCGGGAATATGGCCGCTGTAGAAGTAGTTGTGGCCTCTGAAGTTGAATTCCTTCGGCCCTGCCAAATAAAACAAACAATTATCAATTTTACTTCCTTGAAATGACCTAAATAAAAATATTTTGTCTATTATTTACCCCTAAATATTTGGGAACAAGTAATAGGATTGAATGTGCCTGATATTTCAGTGGCCATTTTTGTTGTCGGGTGTAAATATACCAAGCAATTTAGATAATTTGGTTATGTTTATGACTCAGTGGTCTTAGTTTTGAGTCGAAAAAATGAAGAAACCACTCTGTTAACCACGGTTCTATTAAACCCCATAAACCTTATAACTGTTTCCGTTAACATTTTCTTCTAAAATTGATCAAAATAGAGATACTTCTTGTATATCATAAAAGTTTCAGTCTTGTAATTGGACTACTATATTTAACCCTCTATAGCGCAATGTAATTTTAAAGTCACATACTTGTATGTCCGCATTTTTTTAAGTCTTATATCATTTTTCCGTCACAAGTTGGAGTAGCATTTTATTACTGTTCCACTCTTTCATAGTCAAGAAGTGTAATATCTAATAATAATACTAAATGAAATGAAAAAAAAATTAAGATGTTTAAAATTCGTAGATCAATTGCTAGTTACAAGATTAAGGTTTGCTAGGTTTCGCGTTACAGGTACACTGCCATTCATAAGTATTAGGACACTTGGTTTCCGTAAAAATTATACATTTCAGGCCACTTTTATTACTTCATAGTAGCATAAGCGTTGTCCATCAATCGTTAATATCTCCTATACAATATTTGTTCCAGCCAATTCATAATGCCTTAGAATATTGACTACATATTCGATAAGTGCCCGAACACTTATGGAGGCAAGTGTATGTGTATAATTTCTTTAGGCACGAAAACAAAACTGGATTACGCGGGGTTAATGGAAAGAACAGAAGAAAGTAATCGTGTCATTTTTGAAAATTAGAAGATGTTTCGCTTCCAAAATATGGCGGACAAGCCGTTCAACACGAGCAGCCCTTTCGCAATCGAGGGGTATCATGAGAGTCTCATGATGAGACACGCGTCGTAAATCGTCGACGGGAGAGGCATTCTTGCATAAATACCAGGAAAGAGGGTAAAACCGTTGACATTTAAGCAGACGATAATCATGTGCCCCCCCCCCTCCCATTACAAATATCCACCACCCCGGGCTCACACATGCACACGGCTGTAGAGGATAATTGAATCGTACACGCACGGAGGGATATGGTTCTTCTCTTGACTGCCGCTCGATGGCGCGCAAGTCAGAGACGGGAAAATTCATTATCTAGAATCTAGATAAAGGGTTTCGACTAACGAATGAGAGATAAAAAAAGTACTTCGCCATTTTTAATTGATCAAACGTGGAAATTCCAATTTTTATAATAAAATAATATTACGTCTTGAGTGAATAGACAATTTTTCCTCATTAACTATTTAGAGGTCAGAATGATGATCTTACATATAGCTGTTTTTATTTTGCAATTGCAAAATTGTATCCAACTATGGCGCAAGTCCACACCGAACCGACTCGCCTGAGTACGGATTTCGAAGGGGAACAAGAAACCTCTGTTTCGAAGAGGATAGAAGCTCTAGTATCGAGATAAATACATCGTGTTCTTTATTATTTTATATAATCATATTCTCGTAATTATGTGTGCCAGTAGAATCGGAGATAAGAGTGAAACCTCCCCTTAAAGGGTGATGTATACTTTCATATTTTTCTGTATATCTTAGAAATTATAGTAGATATCAAAAAGCTATTAGAATGAAAATTGAATGGCATCTCATGCTCTATAAAAGTGTGTAATGAACTTGTTAAAGATTTGTTTTTTAAATAAATAAATAAACAAATTTTTAACAATTTTATTATACATTTTTATAAATCATAAGAACCCATTAAATTTTTATTCGAACATTTTTTTTATATCTACTATAGTTTTTAAGATATACAGAAAAATAGGAAAGCACATATTACCGTTTAAGGGGTGGTTTCACTTTAAAGAATCGAATATCAGCAGAAACGAAACATTGCCCGATGCTTTTATTGAAGTCCCACACAAACCTGCGTAGTTTAAAAAAAATTGGAATTTTCAGGGTATCGAAGTTCCCTTGTACGTAACAGTTAATAGAATACATGGTGTAAATAAGGGCAAGCACTTCAGGACTTTTTATCAAATCTGTTGAAGATTTTTAAGATGTAACACTTTGATGCATCCAAAACATGTTTCCTTTATAATGTGGAGTTAAAATAAGCTTTTTTTTTTGGTCGTAGTTTCATACTATTCCCGTTAGGATAAAGCATCTTAAGGTGCGTATTCACTTGTTACGAATCCTCGTATCGTATCAATGTGGACGGGCAACACGTTGCATTGTTGCGTATGAAAATGTATCGTATGGTGATACGATACGAGGATACGCAACAAATGGATACGCACCTTAACACGTCCCTATACTTTCAACTAGCCCATATTTAGACCCTAACCTATGTTTGGGCCATATCCTCTATTTTCCTTGCTCGGTCGATCAGTGTTAAATAAATTAAAATAGTTAATAAAAAATAAGATAAACCTTACAAGAATTTCAGCCTAATAACTAGAATGCGGATTTTATACATTTATAGCACACACGATTCTCTAGAATTCCCTATACAGGAAATCCTCGATGAGTGTTCGAAGGCTTCTCGGCATTAACAAGTAGAGATCTCCAGGTATAACACTGACTGTTTAATGAGGTTTAGTACAGTGATAGATCTCGGAATTCTGAAACCAACGGTGTTTGTTTCAGTCGCATTTGGACATTAGTTTATGAAATATTTAATGGTCAGTGCCGACAAGCCTTCAAACACTTATCGAGGATTTACTGTACTATAGTTTGATAAATTTTGGAAAAGTGTTTATTTTCTTTGGAGCCTGGTGGTTCCTATAAATTAATCCCCAAAGTCTATATTTGCATAAACATCCGCAGTCTACTAATAATTCTTGTAAATATTTTTGAATATTTTCTCCCGCCTTTTCCATACGTCTAGTCGCGTCCGAGTAGACATAATCGAGCGCAGCCGGAAGTCTATAGGGTCAGTAGGTCAACGGCCCATAAAGATGATGAAAATAAAGTAATAACAGCGATAGCGATCGATCATAAACGAGTAGACAATTATTCCCGGGTGATTTTAAAGAGGAAGGAAACGAAGGATTGCAAGGGGACGGAAGTAGTTTATCGAATACATATTCCGAGGCACACACAATGGCGCGGCGATCGCCCTGAGATATCGTAATTGTTCCGGACGTCTATTGTACGACTCGACGGCGCAGGAAACTTGCCGTTGAAAATATACAGAGAGAGAAATGCACGCGTTCAATGACGTTCTGTCGGGTCATTGCGAATGGAATCTCTGCGGAACCTCTGTTATCCGAACCGACAGGAAGAAGAAGGTACTATACGTTTGGGTAACTTTGACTCACAGGGAGAGGTCCCCAGATATAATGTTGGCTTTTTAATGAGTATTAGCGTAGTGGTAGAGCTTGGAATTCTGAATCCAATCAAGTTCTAAGCTATACAGTAAATCCTCGATGAGTGTTTAGAGGCTCCTCAGCATTAAATATTAAATATTTCATAAACTATCAAATAAATATAAACTTGTCAGTACCGAGGAGCGTTTGAACACTAATCGAGGATGTACTGTAACGTGGATCCATTACCCTGAGGCACTTATGATTAGTTAGACCCTATACATTATTGCATTCTGTTCTTCATGTTGCAGTTATGAAAGAGGATTCCAAAGATTTGCTTAATATTTTTTTCATCATTATATTTCTTCTTCCACTTAGATCCTATGACGTTTTGGAATTTGAAGAAATTGAAATATTTATAGCAGTATGAGAAACCAATTTTTTTTCTGAAATCATGGAAACGTTTTGGTGTATCTTTCTCATGTAGTGGACTTCTGTAATGTGGTGTTTAGTATTACAGTAAATCCTCGATGAGTGTTCGAAGACTCCTCGGCACTTAACATTAACTATTTTATATATATTCAGAAAATAATTTTTTCATTTTGCAGATTTGCAAATAGTTAAATTGAATTGATTTTTAAGTGAAAAAGTATTTCAAAATAGGAATTTACCATTTTCTGAATTTGGGACAAAGTTACCCCAGTCTAAGTCGAAGTTACCTCAACTTTTAATATTCTAGGTTGGTAAGAGTACTGTAACAGTTGCAAAGTTGACCTTTGTAGTATCTATTCCAGGCTGGTAGGAGTACAGTGCTATCATAAAGCTGACCTTTGTAGTGCAATTCAGCTGAGAATCTGTATGAGTCACAATAAACAGCTTCTACATTGTCAAAAGCTTCCGCTGATTCGTCGATGAATGGTCTAGTGAGAATACGCAGGATGCGGCAGAGTTTCATAAGCCAATTCGTTCAATCTTTAGAGTGTCATTTGTGAAACGCGAGGTCGAGCGTTGTCGTGCAGAAGAATAGGGCCCCTCTCAATTGATCCAACCTGGCTGTTCAACCTGGAGATGCTACTAACGATAAAGTTATCGATAAATATCGGTAACATCGGATTGAATATATCGATGAAATATGGATAAGTTGAATTTATTGTTATCGACAATTCGATACATCGATAATATTGTTAAGATATCGACAAGTTAAATTTATTACTATCGATAATATTGTCAAAAAGTATGGATAAGTAGAATTTATTGTTATCAATAATTCGATATATTGATAACATCGTTAAGATATCGATAAGTTGAATTTATTACTATCGATATTTCGATATATCGATAACATTGTTGAGGTATGGATTGGTTGAATGTTTTGCTATCGTTAATTCGATATATTGATAATATCGTTAAGATATCGATAAGTTGAATTTATTATTATCGATATTTCGATATATTGATAATACCGTTAAGATATCAATGAGTTGAATTTATTGTTATCGATAATTCGATATATCGATAATATCGTTGAGATGTGGATAAGTTGAATTTAACTGGAAGGTTTATTATAAAAGATTCAAGACGT